TGGGTAACTTTGGGTCAATCACCAGGAGACAGTGAGTTATAGTCCTTCCTTAGGCATGAAAGCCTGCTATTTGACTTCAGGCCAATCACCAGGAGACTGTGAGTTCTAGTCCTACCTCAGGCATAAAAACCAGCTAGGTGAATGAACTTGGGCCTCTCAGTCCTAGGAAGCAGGCAGTGACCAACCACTTCCAAAGTATTTGTGGATTTTCCCATTTTCCCAAAATCCCATTGGATTTTCCCATTTTGACTCATCATTCATCATCAATAGATAATCCCACCTTTTGAAAATGGGACTTGGGATTCCCCACTATAAGCGTCACTTATTGTTGAGAGAGTCTGCATTACGACAAGTTCCGTAAACAAACAAGTCTGCAGAGCAAGCGGGACTAATGGAAAGGGCTTTAATCACCTGGTCAGGTTACCATCTTGCCTTTTTTGAAACCCTTCTGCCCTTCTTGGACACCGAAATGAAATGCTTCCGTGCAGAATGACTATTTCTTTGCTTTAAATCACACCTGTGGACTTGATCTGAAATCAGAGAGCTTAGTTAAGTATTTTCCCCTCAAGGATAGCCGAGCAGCTGTCAATCCTAAGAATAAATCTAGGAGAAAACCACCCTTAAAATAAGTATTTCTTATTTCTCGAACAAAACTGAGCCATATATATCCCCCTCGACTGCCGGGTGGAAATATTGACCTTCCTATTTTTCATTCTGTTCCTGTCCTTCCTTTTATTTTTGTGCACTTCCTAGGTATTTTACAGGCAGCCTTTGTTGCTGGCGTTGGGATTTCTCCGACTCCAGAAAGGGGGAGGAAAAAAAATGCTTAATAATAATCTCTCACCCTAGCGTTCTCCTGTGTCTCATGTCTTTGTGTTGACTGTGTAGGTAGCCGAAGTAGATTATGCTGAGTTTTAAAGTCACCCACAAAGTTCAGCGCGGCAAAGTACTTGGAAAATTGCAGGTCGAGGGGAAGGAGGAACAAGGCTTGTGAGGGCCGAGACCGAAAGCAACAATTTTGTAAATCTGCGAAGGTCAAAAAAGGGCTTTGGTTATATGGAGAGAGGCTAGGGAAAAAAATCGCATCCCATCTCCTATCGTCAGAAAGATGCTTTTTAAAAGCAGCAGTGGTTAATGTATGGGAAAGATTGAAGAGTCACGGGAAAGCTGTGGGTTCTGTTTTACTGGGTTGCTATTGTTGTGGTTCACCGGCAGCCAGTGCAGACAGCAGCGGAATCGAACAATGGGAAAGAATGGGGACCAGTCCGGGAATCTGGAGAGAACTCGGATTAGGATCCTGCGTCCAATGCAGAAATGGGGCCAGGACCATCTGGGAGTGGGGTGCTGACTCCAGAGCCTCCAGAATCTGGCAGCAGCGAGGCAGAGGAACAAGGGGAGCCTGTTCCCAGTACGTGTGTGCACAGAGCTGCTAGAAGACAAGAGTAGCTGAGACAAAAGAGGGGACTTGGGAGTAAGGCTGGGAGATGATTGCCCCTCCCCTAAGGTATAAAGGAAATGCAAAGATAGAGGAACCTTTGCAGGAAGCAAAGTCATTTGCTGTGTTCGGATTAAATCTTGAAGCTCTGTGTGGACTTTGCACTTCGGTTGGTTTTTTTGCAGTTCATTTGGCACTTTAGTTGTTGGCAGCAATTCAAAGGAGAGAAAGGTGGGTACTTATCTCGAGGGACTGTTTGGGACTCATTCCTGGCTGGGAATGAACATAATTCCTAGCGTTGAAATAAAACAAGAGTTGTTTTAACTAAGCATGTGCTTAATTACGGTCGCGGAAGTCTTGGTCAGTACAGAACCTGAGCCAGTCTTGGAGGCTGAGGAGGGCTCAGACGAAGGTTCTGCATCGGAGTCAGGGATGGGGCCAGGACAGGCTGGCAGTCATCAGCTGCCTTCAGACTCAGACAGCAATGAGGCGGGGAAGTTTCTGGAACTGGTTCCCAGCCTGCACATGCGCAGAACTAGCAGAAGACAAGAACAATTGAGAAAGCAGGGTCGACTCAGGAGTAAGGCCACACCTCGGAGATTATTGGCCCCTCCCCTAGGACATAAAAGTTGACAAAGCACCCAAACTTTGATTACCTATCTGTAGGGATGCTGCAGTAGTTATACGTGTGAGGACCGGTCATAAATCAGGTTTTTTTTCAGTGCTGTTGTAACTTGGAACAGTTGCTAAACAAATGCAAATGTACATTCAGAAGTCTGTAGTGCTTGGATTCCATATTTATTCCTGATTTTATCTGGCTCCGACTCTTTGTCAAGGAATGGAATGGAAGAGAAGAGAAGAGAAGAGAAGAGAAGAGAAGAGAAGAGAAGAGAAGAGAAGAGAAGAGAGGAACCATATAATGGAATGGAATGGAGTGGAGTGGAGTAGAGTGGAGTGGAGTAGAGTAGAGTAGAGTAGAGTAGAGTAGAGTAGAGTAGAGTAGAATAGAATAGAATAGAATAGAATAGAATAGAATAGAATAGAACAGAGGAACCATAGAATGGAATGGAATGGAATAGAATAGAGAATGGAATGGAATAGAATAGAGGAACGGAACGGAACGGAACAGAACAGAACAGAATAGAATTCTTTATTGGCCAAGTGTGATTGGACACAGAAGGAATTAGTCTTGGTGCAAATGCTCTCAGTGTACATAAAAGAAAAGATACATTCGTCAAGAATCAGGAATCATGAGGTGTTCCCACTTCCCACACTTATAAATACAACCCAAAAGAACTGTTTTAAATTGGAGAATTTGCAGGAGTTGGAGAAATTGCCACTTAGGAACTAAAGTTCCCTCCATCTCTGGCTATTTATTTTGATCCCTCAGTCTCCTTCCCTTGAAGTGAGAAGGGCTTAGCAAGAGCTCAGAACTGATCCTTGTTAATCTCTTTGGAAAGGCTGGAAAGTACATTAGATCTCCCGATGAAAACCTTATTTGTTGACAAAATTAAGTGCTAAAGCTGGGCAGGACACCCTTTTGCCTGTTTGGCTCCAGGAACGGAGAGAATTCAACACCCCAAACGTGGCCTAAATCACCGCCTATTCTTTGAGGGAAGGTCTTACCTCCCTGGCCAGCCAAACCAACAATCTAGAATCTTTTTTTGTGGCACAGAGTTATCAATGTTGTGGCTTGTTATCTTTCTCGCTTGGGCCCATTCCGGATGTGTTTTCAGCAGGGAAGGGAGAAGAGGAAGATAGCCCTCAACATATCCTAAACATTAGAAGCCTCCAAAAAATTCTCCGTTGAGCGACCGATGAGATAAGACAGACCTGCCTGCCTCATTTCTTGGTTCAAAAGTGACCCCAGGTCCCAGACAGGCCTTGTGAAGGAAAAGAAGGGAGATCCTGAAGTTGAAGGCTTCACTCAACATTGGGTGAAACAGAGTTTCTACGGACAATCATCTGTCATTAAAGACCATTAAGTGAATGAAATACCCCAGGGTTGACCTTACTTTGATAAGAAGGCCCTTGTTCAAAAGAACATCTTCCAAATATGTGTGTGTGTGTGTGTATACACATACACACACACATATTTAGAGAGAGGGAGTGTACCACTCAAGCTTTTGATTGATCAGTTCTTCTTTACAAAATTAAAGCAGGAAAAAAACAAAAACCCCACAGTGTTGATTTGAGGAAATGGCTTTCCAAGTTGATAATATCTTGGACCACGTTTCTTGAACCCTCGACCTCACGCTGTCAAGATATTTCTTATCGCCTTCTAACCTTTGGCTAAGCCAGGTTTGAAAATGAGAATTGAGCACTTGGAAGCTGTGTTATTTTATATTCACCGAGGCTGCGGTTCTGACCTCATCACCCTTAAGTCGTGGTTTACTTAATCATGTAAAGCACGTTTGCAATATAAGCAACATCTCATTCTGAAAGGAAATGTATACATTTTTATGCATTCATACTTTCTCCGCATTAGTATGATTGAGCAGAATAGTTCATGTTATAGACCTCATGCTGGAAGAAGTTTATTCTCTCATTGCATCTTACCTTAATGATCCTTCCTTCCTTCCTTCCTTCCTTCCTTCCTTCCTTCCTTCCTTCC